TTGGTGTTCAGTCAGTTGTCACCGATCAGGGAGAACATATGGTATTTGTCCCTTTGGGACTGGCTTACTTCACTCAGCATGATGTGTTCCAGATTCCTCCATTTTGTTGCAAATGACTGGATTTTGTTGTTTCTTACTGCGGTATAGTATTCTAAAGAATACATATCCCATAATTTCTTTATCCAGTCTACCGTTGATGGGCATTTAGGTTGGTTCCAGGTCTTGGCTATTGTGAATTGTGCTGCAATAAACATTAGGGTGCAGACCGCTTTTTTCTTTATCAATTTAAACTCCTTTGGGTAAATTCCAAGGAGTGGGATGGCTGGGTCGAACGGTAGGGTTATCTTCAGGTTTCTGAGGAATCTCCAGACTGATTTCCATAGTGGCTTGACCAGTTTGCATTCCTACCAACAGTGGGTTAGTGTCCCTTTTTCCCCACATCCTCGCCAGCATCTGTTGTTGGTAGATTTCTGTATGTGAGCCATTCTAACCGGGGTGAGGTGAAACCTCATTGTGCTTTTGATTTGCATTTCCCTGATTGCTAGTGACCTTGAACATTTTTTCATGTGCCTGTTGGCTATTTGGATTTCCTCTTTTGAAAAATGTCTATTGAGGTCCTTGGCCCATCTCTTAATTGGGTTGTTGGTTTTGTTTTTGTGGAGTTTCTTGATCTCTTTGTAGATTCTGGTTATTAACCCTTTATCTGTTGCATAGTTTGCAAATATTTTTTCCCATTCTGTCGGTTGTCTCTTCACTCTCCTGACTGTTTCTTTTGCAGTACAGAAACTTCTCAATTTGATGCAATCCCAATAGTTGATTTTGGCTTTGACTGTCTGTGCCTCCCGGGTCTTTTCCAGAAATTCTTTGCCTGTGCCAATATCTTGAAGGGTTTCTCCAATGTTCTCTAATAACTTAATGGTGTCAGGACGTAGATTTAGGTCTTTAATCCACGTTGAGTGGATTTTTGTGTAAGGTGTAAGGTAGGGGTCTTGCTTCATGCTTCTGCACGTGGAAATCCAGTTTTCCCAGCACCATTTATTGAATAGACTGCCCTTACTCCAGGAAATTGGCTTTGGACCCTTGATCAAATATAAAGTTGGCTGTAGATGTTTGGATTGATTTCTGGTGTTTTTGTTTCTGTTTCATTGGTCTATCCATCTGTTTCTCTATCAGTACCATTCTGTTTTGATTACAACTGCCCTGTAGTATGTCCTGAAATCTGGTATTGTGATGCCTCCAGCTTTGTTTTTGTTGTACAAGATTGCTTTAGCTATTCGAGGTCTCCTGTGCCTCCATATAAATTTCAGCACCATTTTTTCCAGATCTGAGAAGAAGGTCTTCGGCATCTTGATTGGTATTGCATTGAATCTATAAATTGCTTTTGGGAGAATGGACATTTTGATGATATTGATTCTTTCAATCCGTGAGCATGGAAGATTTTTCCATTTTTTGCTATCCTGTTCTATTTCTTTCTTTAAGGTTTTGTAATTCTCATCGTAGAGATCTTTAACATCCTTGGTTAAGTTTATTCCAAGGTATTTGATTGTTTTTGTAGCTATTGTGAATGGGATTGATCTTAGAAGTTCTTCCTCAGCCATGGCATTGTCTGTGTATACAAAGGCTGTTGATTTTTGTGCATTGATTTTATATCCTGCTACTTTGCCAAAATCTTCTATGAGTTCCAATAGTCTCTTAGTAGAGTTCTTTGGGTCCCCTAAATAAAGAATCATATCGCCTGCAAAGAGGGATAGTTTGAGTTCTTCCTTCCCAATTTGTATCCCTTTAATTTCTTTTACTTGCCTAATGGCTCTGGCTAAAACTTCCAGAACTATATTGAATAGCAGTGGTGAGAGTGGGCATCCCTGTCTGGTACCAGATCTCAGTGGAAATGCTTCCAACTTTTCCCCATTCAATAGGATGTTGGCCGTGAGTTTTTCATAAATTGCTTTGATTGTGTTGAGGAATGTTCCTTCTATACCCAATTTGCTTGGAGTTTTCATCATGAAAGGGTGTTGTATTTTATCAAATGCTTTCTCTGCATCTATTGAGATAACCATATAGTTTTTCTTCTGCAGTTTGTTAATGTGGTGTATCACATTGATTTATTTGCAAATGTTGAACTATCCCTGCATCCCAGGGATAAATCCCACTTGGTCTGGGTGGATGATCTTTCTGATGTGTTGTTGCATTCTATTGGCCAGAACTTTATTGAGGATTTTTCGTCTATGTTCATCAGGGATATTGGTCTGTAATTTTCTTTCAATGCCGCATCTTTTTCCAGCTTAGGAATTAAAGTTATGCTGGCTTCATAGAAAGAATTTGGGAGCATTCCCTCTTTTTGGATTGTTCTTAGTAGTTTGAGAAGAATTGGTGTTAGTTCTTTAAATGTCTGGTAGAATTCAGCAGTGAATCCATCTGGTCCTGGGCTTTTCTTTGTTGGGAGGGCCTTTATTACTGTTTCAATTTCTTTCTCAGTTATGGGTCTGTTTAGGTTTTCTATGTCTTCCTGCTTCAATTTAGGCAGGTTGCATGTGTCCAGGAATCTATCCATTTCTGAGAGATTTCCCTGTTTGCTGGCATACAAGTCCTTGTAGTAATTTCTGATGATTCTTTTTATTTCTGTGGTGTCTGTTGTTATGTTTCCTTTTTCATCTCTGATTTTATTGATTTGGGTCTTTTCTCTTCTTTTTTCAGTTAGTTGGGCCAATGGTGTGTCAATTTTGTTTATTTTTTCAAAAAACCATCTCCTCTTTTGGCTGATTTTTTGCAATTTTTTTTGGATTCAATCCTGTTGATTTCTTCTCTGATTTTAATTATTTCTCTTCTTCTACTAGATTTGGGTCTGGTTTGCTGCAGTTTTTGTAGATCATTGAGATGCACTGAAAGTTCATGTATTTGGTTCCTTTCCAATTTCTTGATGTAGGCACCTATTGATATAAACTTTCCTCTTAACACTGCTTTTGCTGTATCCCATAAGTTTGGATATATTGTGCTGTTATCTTTATCTACTTCCATAAAGTTTTTGATTTCTCATTTGATTTCTTCTATGACACACTGTTCATTCAGGAGCATGTTGTTCAGTCTCCATGTGTTTGCATACTCTCTAGGGATTCCTGAGTTGCTAATTTCCAACTTCATTCCTTTATGGTCTGAGAAGCTGCATGGTATGATTCTAATTCTTTTGAATTTGCTGAGACTTGCTTTATGGCCTAGTATGTGGTCAATCCTAGAGAAGGTTCCATGCACTGCTGAGAAGAATGTAAAATCTTTAGCTGTAGGATTGAAAGTTCTGTATATATCTGTTAGATCCATTTGGGCTACAGTATCGATTAAATCTGCTGTTTCCTTATTGATCTTCTGTCCGGTTGATCTGTCTGTTTTTGAGTGTGGAATATTGAAGTCTCCTACACCTTCAGTTTTTCACAGTCTCAGTTCATTAGCTCCACACATTCACTAGGTTCTAACCTCCTGTTATTTCTTCCTATCAGAGTCAGGTTTTTCTGCTTGGGTGATGGTGGGCGCTGCTTTTACGTATGTTCAAAATGGCACCTGCTCTTTATCTTACTCGCCTTTGTAAGGTGAGTGTAGAGAGAGACTCGTGTCTGTGCTGGTCCCTTTTATTTATTTATTTATTTTTCTCTTCTCTAGTTAGCCTGGTGAACTTTCCCTAGCAGGGCTTCAAGCCTCATTCCCTCTAGGCTCTTCCAGCCAATTCCTTGCCAATGTCTTGGGCTACCGAGGTCCACCTCATCTCCCTTTCCAGCAATGGTGCATAGTCTCTGCAGCTGGGCTCCTGAGCCGTGAACACCCTTGCCCGCCACATAGGTCCACCGTGCCCCCCTAGTTACGAAAGAGTTTCCTCTGCAGTTTTTTTCCTTAACATTTCCCTAAAACTATAGTGGCTCCACTTTTATTAAACTATCTTTTCCTGGACTATATTATAAGGCACCTTTAAATCTGGAAATGACTTATTCCTGATGAGTTGAATCTTTTATTTTTACGCAGTGTCACATTTTTATATAATGTTTTTACCATAAAGTCTCCCTTGTAAGATATTAAAAGTGGCGTACTTATGGGTTTTTAGTGTTTGTATGGATCATCTTGATCTTCGAAATGACTTTGTTAATAGTTGGAGTATCTTGATTTTTTTAAGCTTAGGTAAATCTAGAATGGTGGTAGAGTTGACAAAGCCCAGCAGGTCAAGTACAATATTTCAAATACATGACAACATGTATTTGAATCTACCCCCTCCTTCACTCAGTAGTATCTAACAGTTTATTTTCTGTGTAATTATTCTTACATCCTCTAGCTTTTACCTGTGCAAAATGACTTAGAGGCTGCTATGGTTTGATTATGGTTTGTCTCCTCTGAAACTCAACTTGAAATTTAATTCCTATTAGGAGTTATAAAGAGGTAGGACACTTAAGAGATAATTAGGGCTCTGCCCTCATAAATGGATTAATGTGTTCCTATGATTAACTAATTAATGGATTAATTGGTTACCATGAGAGTGAGTCTGCTGTAAAAAGCAGTTTGGCTAGGTCTTCCCCACACTCCCTGCCTTTCAGTGTGTGATGATACCTTGAACCCTCTGGGGGCCCCTCCAGCAAGGAGCCCATCACCAGATGCAGCTCTTCAACCTTGGACCAGAACCATCAGCTAAAATAAATCTCTCTTCTTTATAATTTACCTTGTCTGTGGTATTGTGCTGTTAGCAACAGAAAACAGAATAAGTCAGAGGCCAACATTTTAAATAGTTTACAGAATCTAGAGAAATAAAATAAAGGAGTGAAGTGGGCTGTTTTTGCAATAAATTTACAGAAATAGTGTTCATTTACACTTTACAGCCTCATTCTGCTTCTTTTTATGGACATGATTGCAGAGAAAAAGCTCTCTCCCTGAAGAAAGACCTCAGGATAAGCCCAGAGATAGTACATAACTGACTGGCAGCCTCAGGCCCAAGAAGGTGGGACATGGGGCCAGTTAGGGGCACATCAGGTCCATGGCAGCCTTGCTTCTCTTCTCCAGACATTAACAGCCTCCTGGGGAAATGGGAAAAATATAATGAAAAAAACAAAAAATAAGCCCTAGCTTTGTATGAGACATGGTCTGAATTTTAATGTGAATTCAAATCTTATTTGAAATTCTGGGGCTGAGTGTAGCACCAGTCCCCAGACTGTTCTTAAGTTTATCTGGCTTGGTGACTGCCTGGAGCTGCAGGGGAAGCCCACTTCCTGCCTAGCGTTAGCCTCCCTACTCACATTCTATTTTCCTGCTGTTGCCAGGCCAGTGTGGATTGAAGTCACTCTAGACAAACTGCTGCCTAAAGGCTCTTGAGCTACTTTGTGGGAAGGAGGTAACACTATCTCTCTTGGACTTCTACCAAGCTTGCTGACAGATACAATCTCCAAGCAATTCCCCACCCCTCCCAAGTCATGTCTCAGTCTTGCTTCCCTCATCCCATCTTGGGCACTTGTGAATATTTTGACACAAAAGCAGGAGGCTTTGCTTACCAAATTTACTTCTTAGATAAATGTCTTTGTCCATTTTTTGTTGCTTTAACAAAAATACCCAAGGCTAGGAAGTTTATAGAGAAGAATTTATTTTGGCTCACACTTTGGAAGGCAGAAATTTCCAAGTGTGGATGGTCATAACTGGTGAGAGCCTCAGACTGTGTTGAGATGTGGTGGATGGTGAGCATCTGTGTGGAAGAGAACAAACACTCTGGGTAGGGTTATGAAACAGCAACCTGCTCTCAAGGTAAATAATGCAGTCCTGTGAGACTCAACTCACTCCTGAGAGATGGGCATTCATCTCTGCTTGGGGTGGGGAGAGGGGGTGCAGAACAAATTATTTCCTTCCAGACACACTTCCTGAGAGTTTCACCATCTCTCAACACCATTACTTTGGGGACCCAGTTTCTAGCACATGCACTTTTTGGGAGATAAACCAGAGACAAACCATTGTAGTAAGGTAGAGCACTTTGGCATAGAGTGGGGATGCTTCTCTCTACCAGCCCAGTGGGAGGATACAAAATCAGCACTGTCCACTCCCAGTCCTGATGGAGTCCATTCACACTAGTTTCTTTCAGGGGCTGTCAAAGAGATGTTCCTACGTGCAGCTCAGCACGTCTTATCAACCACTCTTCCCTGGTCCTCTGACCCATCTCCGCCCTCCCTTCCTCATTACTTTTGTTCAGGCTGGTGTTTCTTGCAGGAGGGGATCCCTGTTCGTTCACATGTGGTTTGTCCTCTGAGGACCTCACAGTGGACTCTGCTGGTACATTCATGCAACACTATATTTTAGGGGATGGGAAGCAAAAGAGAAAAAAGATTATACATCACCTTTTAAGGTTATATTGTGGACTGCGTATTTAACTTCTCAGGAGTAGAACTGAAAGGCTGCCACAGAACACACCAAAACACTAAAGTAAAAAAAAATGTTTTATTGTCGAGAGCTGACAGGCTGTCTCTCCATGCACAAGAGAGCAGCAGCCCATGGTTAGATAACAGGTCTTATTATAGCCTTGCAGAGAGAAGGATGTAGGAGCACCAGATTCCAGTAAGGTAGCAGGTGGAGTTAATGCTTGTGGTTGGGTTATCTAGACATCACCTGACTTCTGGTAAACCAGACCCAATTCCAGGAAACCCAGACCTATATCTGAGAAACCAAATCTTATTTTGCAAGATGGCACCTAGGCTGAAGCTTATCCTTCAAGATGGTACCTAAGACAAGATGGAGTCAGTCTTGCCTATATTCCTCTCTCTTTTTTTTTTTTTTTATAAAGCAAGTGTGGTATGGGACCATACCAGCACCCCCACCCCCACAAAGAAGTCCAGGAAAGGTGGAGGGATGGTAATCTACTTCCTGCTGTAATGGGGAGGAATCTCATGTCATGATCTCCTGAGTAGAGAACTGGGTAGATCCCTGTAACAGTGTCTTGTTGACCACCTGGTCAGTGAAGACTTTGGTTCATTCCATTATTACTTCCTGTAACCATCTGAACAGACAAGGCAATATGAAAGCCAAGGTGAGTATAGAGGCAAGTGGCCCTAAGAGAGGCATCAGCCAAGTAATGAGAGGACTCCATAGAAGAGAGGAAATGAAGGGGTCCCTGGATCCTAGTGAGGACTGTTTGATAGATGTGGAGATTTGTTGAAGAGTTTTAACATTTTGTTCTGCCTACTCCAGTTGGTTAAGATAATAACAACACTATTTTCCCAGAAAGATACAAGTTTCCCCTTTTTCAGCTTTTATAGGGTCTAAAGCCTATCTGTTCTGTAGTACCACACCTGCTAGTGAGGTGATTTGGCTTTGGAGACCTCAGATGGTGTCAGCTGAGGTCTCAGTGAACCTAGTGACCTCCTCTTCTAACTGTTGGAGTTGTTCTTGGAGTCAGTTGGTCGAGATTATGTTGCGGCCCAAAGCTTCTCCTGAAATCACTGCTGAGGAGAGGGAGGCTGTGAAGCTGATCCCAACTAAAACAAGGAGAAAGGCCACTTGTTTCTTGCAGGTAGAAGTGTTTGTGGAAAAAATTCTGAATAATCATGCAAGGTTAAGTGAGGGGAGATGACCACCAATACACATGGGCTGGGAGTAGAGTCATTGATGTAAGGGTATAGAGTATGATTACAAAGGGATGAGGCCTCAAGTGGGCTAGACAAGGAAGTAGTGGAATTGATGATCGTGTTTGTAACACAAGGAATGCTGTGTTGTAGAAGTTCATTATGTTCTGTGGCCACATTTGTAACCCAGTACATTGCATTTTGTCCTCCTGAATGTAAAGGAAGGTGACCGACAACTCTCTGAGGTTAGGGAGTATAGGTGTTTGTCAGAGCAGAGATATTGGCAAATAAAGTGGCTGCAATGGAAGGTTCCCAAAGGGGGTGCACACAGAACAATCTTGTTGGTAGAAGGCAAAAGGCAAGGTAGAACTGGCCAGCTGATGAAGTAGAGTAAGTGATAGATTAATGAAGTGTAGCTGTGTTAGAGGTAGTTTAATAGGATTAATTAGCAGGAATAGGTGTTTAAAAGATTCCTTTACTATATCAACTTCCACATCTATAGGGGATGTCTGGAGCTGAGTGATTTTTATAGTTCCTGATGACTTTTATAGTTCCATGTGTGTCTCCCATATTGGAATCAGTATATATATTGATTGATCCTTCAACCCCATTTTGCCAGTCCTAAAGGTAAGGGTTAGTTTTGCTAAAGGTTAAGAGGGGTTGGATGTGTTGGGAGTATGAAGGCTTGTATGGCATCCTCATCCTGTGGCATCCTCATCCTGTGGCATGAAGGTTGTTTTCCAGGGAGCCCATAACCATAGTCGGTATAGTAATATTTACAGGACTATGATGGACAGCCTTTCCAGTATACATCCTCACCTGACCCCTTGTTGTCCTTGGTCAGGCAGAGATAGAATCAGTGTACCTCCAGTTGGGATATAGTGTACCTGGTCCATTCAAAGCAGTTGTGGGAGCAGGCCTGAGTGAAATCAAAGTACAGAGTGTGAGGACCCACACAGCCTGTAATAGGACAGAAGGTAGAGTTAAGTAGTTTAGAAGGAGTGGAAGTAGAATGAATCTGGAATTGCCATGTGTGGCGTGTCCCAGGGGCAGGCGCTGGTTTAGGGCAGGCAGGATAAGGATATTATGAGCAGGAGGGATAAGGATACTTTGAGTTTTATCATGGTGCATGGAAGAAGGAGTGAGACAGTAAAAGGAGGTATGGAAAGGGGTAGATCTCAAGGGGAGTGAAGTGAGAGGGTTCCTTGGAGGTGTAAGTCTTCAATATCCAAAAGGATCCTGGAAGGGATGGGTAAGGAGTGTATTTAATATTCCCTCCACAAATGTTACAAGAAGAGTTGGTAGCAATATAAAAGATCAATATTTATCCAGTATTGGAAATGATTGATGGTTCTGTGTTCATATTTCTCGGGGGCTGGTTCATCCATGACAGAAGGGCCTCGGTTTCCGGACAATGCTGGCAGTGAAGCTCAGGTCCAAATAAACCTGGCTGTGAGTGGCCCTGTTGGAGTAATGGTGTAATGTGGTGGAGGGAAGAGAACTTATGGTGAGTGAAGTGGACCCAATGGAGGACTCCCTGCCATTTTGCTACTGTGTGGGTAGTTAGGATGACATGATAAGGTCCAGTCCATTTAGCTTGTGGTTTGTTGGGATCAGAGGATAAAGAGGGATGTAAAGAAGACAGGAAGACACTGTCTCCCACATTTATAGAAGAGGAGTTATCTGGATTATCTCGGTGTGGAGCTGGGCAGTAAGTGTCTGTGTATTTCTGTAGATTTGCTCAGAGGTGCCTGATGAGGGTCAGGATCAGATGAGGCAGCAGGAGTGGGGACTGGGCGTGTATAGTTGGAGGAATCAAGAGATGTCCATACATAAGTTCAAAAGGCGAAATATTGAGAGTTTTTTTTTTTTTTTTGAAGGGCCCTCATACTGAGTAGGGCCATTGGGAGTAGTTTTATCCAGTCCAAGTGGACCTCAAGGAAGAGCTTAGACAGAGCATTTTTTTAGCATATGATTTGTTCTTTCTACTTTTCCTGGGGATTGGAGGTGATAAGAGATGTAGAAATACCATGGGATGTTAAGTGCCTTGGTAAGTAGCTGGGTTACTTGGGATGTAAATTTGGGACTATTGTCTGGAAAGAGAGGCGGGAACCCCAAAGTGGGGAATAATCTCCTGAAGTAGGATGTTGGATACTGTTAGTGATGTTTGTTGGTAGTAGGGAAGGTCTTGACCCACCCAGAGAAGGTATCTGCCAAGACCAAGAGATACTGAAAGCGCCATACTCTAGGAATATGGGGGAAGTCAACTTGCCAGTCAGAAGCTGCAGGTGTCCCTGGCTTGATGGGAGAGGAACAGTGCAGGATGGAGGTTAGAGTTAGGGTTTGTTTTTTTGACCTATAGAACAAGAAGAAGTGAGTTTTTGAAGATATTTGGTATCTTCTGGTGAAAGAGGAAGAGATTGTTTGACAAACAATAAAAAAGAAGAAATGTTGGGATGAAACAAATGGTGGACAAGAAAGACTCATCACTAACTCACTGGATTGTTCATCCAATCTTGATCTTCCCACCCTTCAGAATCATGATCCAAATAAACTTTTATTCTTCAAAAAAAAAAAAAAAACAAAAAAACAACAACAACAAAAAAACAAATGGTGGAGATAGAATAGAATGATCTGAGTGGAAGAGTGTTGGGATTATTGATCTTGAGGGTGGTTTACCAGTATAGCAAATGTTTTCTGTCATGGTTATGGCCTTGTGAGTGGGGGTGAGGTGTACACCCAGATAAGATACCTCAGACAAGGAAAGCTGTGCTCTTTTGAAAGAGACCTGGTAACCTTTGGCTTCTAGGAAGTTGAGGAGAGTAGCAGTCTGTCATTGGCTATCTATTTCTGAGGGGCTGCAGAGGAGGAGGTCATCAATGTATTGAAGAAGAAAGGAGGGGGATAGATCCAGGGCTCCTAGATAATTGGGCGAGGCTTGACCAAATAGTCAGGGGCTATCTGTCGCTCCCCCTCTTCGTGGAGGAGCGACACTGAACCCTGCGCTGTTCTTTTGTCTGCTCGGCCCTCCCCGGGTTTGCTGCTGGTTCTTCCCGGGTTGGCTACCGACCCTTCCACCTCTGTGGAAGGGCGGTTCCCTCTGCCACTTTCCCCACTTCCGCAGGGGAGCGGCACACCACCGGCCGGCTCTCTCGGGGGCTGCACAGGTGTTCCTTCAGATAGATGTTCCTGGTGCATGTTGTCTCTCTCCTCCTTTATAGTCCTCTTCCACCAATCCCAACTCTGCTACCCACATGCCAAGTATGCTGCTCTCCTCCAATCAGGAGCAGCAGCTCCTGCAGGTCATCACTCAAGTTGGCGAGAGGCAGCTGCGTAGAAGTTGTTACTCCCTTCTCAGCGCCATATTGTGGGAGAGCAGATGCATAGAATAAGTCTTAATTCCAGTAACAGTCTAGTCCGAGTTGCTCCCCACACTATCCTTGAGCCCCTGGAGGATAATAGTCCAAGTTAATTGAGTCAAGACCTGCAAGTCAGGATCAGTCCAAGTGAAAGAAACAGATACTGAGAATTGGGATGTAAGTGGATGGTGAAGAATGCATCTTTAAGATCCAGGACTGAAAAGTGAGAAGTGGTGGCAGGGAAGTTGCATGTGTTGTGTACTACTGAGTGTATGGGTACTATTGTGAAGATCTTGTACTAAGCAGAAGGAAACCCCTTAGGTTTTTTTTTTTTTTTCTGCCAGAATGGGAGTGTCATAAGAGGAGTTGGTTCTGTGGAGTAATCTTTGGAGGAGGAGTTTAGTAATAATAGGCTTTAGTCCCTGATGGCTAGAAAGAGGTAGGGGGTATTAAGGTTGAGAGGGAAATGTCGAGGAGTCTCAAACTTTGATTTGTACAGGAGGATGATGAGCAGTTAGCATAGAGTGGCTGGTGTCCCATACCCATGGTTGACAGTGGACAGGGGGCCTGAAGTAGGCAGTGCAGTTGGGCTGGGATCATTTTGAGAGAACAGCAACAGGAAGGGAGGCAAAGGCAAGTTGGAGGATGGGGCTGACGGTCAGAGGGTAAAGGTTATTTGGGTACCAAACTGACAGAATAGATCCCGTCCCAGAAGGGGAGTAGGACATTGGTATAACAAGGAAAGCGTGAGAGAAGGGCATCTTATCCACCATGCAGAGCAGACCGGGGGTCTGTAGAGGCCTATAAGGTTTTCCTTCCACCCCAACTATGGAAGCTGAGGCAGTAGAGGTGGGCCCCCAATAATGGTTAAGGACTGAGAAGTTTGCTCCTGTGTCCATGAGAAAAGAAACTGGCCTACCTGCTGCTGTCACAGTTACCCTGGTTTCTCATGGAGTGATCATCATAGTTGGGTGGTGGGAATCTGTTCTCCTTCAATCCTTGGTTGCCAGTCCTAGAAGGTCAGCCTAGGGCATGGATGGAGTGGATGACCTACTGACCCTATGGACAAGAAGACAGTCCACAGCCCAATAGCCCTTTAGGTGATGTTTAGGACAAGGACCTGGTGGGTTCCAGGGTTGGGGCACATTCTGACCCAGTGGCCCATTTGGCCACATTTAAAGCTTGGACCTGGAGAACCACTGTGGTCAGCGGGGCTACTGGAGGCAGCAGGTTGTTGAAAGATCTTGGCCAGCATTTGAAATTTAGCCTTTGGGTTCTCTCATCCCTTCCATTATATACCTTAAAGGCCACCTCTAGAACCTCCACCTAGGGGGTTAATGGGCCTCTTTCAAGTCATTATAGTTTTGCCTTGCTGTCTGGGAAGCTCTAGGCAAATAAATGATTCCTAAGAAGGCTACAACTGTCAGGAGACTGTGGTTCTAGGTTAGTATATTGGAGGAGAGTCTGTGTGAGATGCTGTAAAAAGGCAGAAGGATTTTCCTTTTTGTCTTGAATAATCTATCCAAATTTATCATAATTTAGAGCCTTTTGGTAGACTTTTTGAGCCCTGCCAGCAAACAAGTAATAAAATGATTTCTGGCAGTGACACCACTAGGAAACTTATAATCCCAATTGGGGTCTTGTTCCAGGACTGCCTCTGCTGGGATAGGCCGGGTCCGTTTGATGGGTCTTATCGGCCTGGAGATGGGCCTGTTCTCAAATGCACCTTCGCTGCTCTGGGAGAAGGTGTTAGAAAGGATTATAAAAATGCCAAGAAAGGTCAGATCATAGGACTGGGATAGGTATCGGAATTGTTTGATGTACGAAGTGGGGTTAGAGGTGAAAGAACCTAGTTTTTATACACTTTGTGACAGATCACTGAGTGAAAAAGGAACATGGATCCTGAGTATGCCCTCTGCTATCACCTGCCTCTCATAGGGGTAACAAGGAGGTGGGTTCCCTGGCTGCCATTCTCGAGTGAATGACTCAGGGGCTAGGATTAGCAGATGGGGAGCTGGGGGTCTGAGACAAAAGGTAGCAAGGCAGGGATAGTATATTGGCTCAGAGGAACAGAACGGGGCAAAGTTGGGGTTGATTTTCAAATGGGAGTAAATAGGGGGCAGGAGGAGTAGGAGTGGATGACGTGTTTTGAGAGCCCTGAATGGGAGAAGCCTGTGCCATTGCCTGTGGTGGGGACAGTAAGGAGGAAGCTAATCTGCAGATAAAAGTAGAAGAGGGTTCTGGATCTTTGGTGAGAACCTTGGAAGCTAAGAGAACTTGAGCTGAAGAACACAAGATGCAAGGTGAAGATTTAGAATGGAGATAGGAGAAGGCCTGGACATAGAGAATCTCCTTCCAGTTTCCCTAATGCTCACAAAAGTGGTAGAGATCCCAAACAATGTCGGGGTCAAGTGTGCCATTAAGCAGCCATTTGGACTGGTTGTCAAGATTGTACATGGGCCATGACTGATTTCAGAGAAAGATGAGATAATGGCACTTAAGATCTGGGGCCAATTGGAGAGGAACAAGATTACTCAGGAGACAACCGAGAGGAGAGTCAGATGGAACGTGGGATGAAGAAGCTCTCATAGCGACCTCGAGAAGCTGGGCTGATGGACAGCACACATTCCTGAGATCTCGTCAGTCTGACAACAAGAGTAAGGGAGCAGAGGCCGGGGTCATCACCTGCACCAATTGGTACCAAGGGCTTAAAGTCTGTGGGAGTTGTGGCTCCTGGTACCAGGGCTTTGAGGCAAAGTACGACAGAACCATAACCCAGAGGAGAGAAGTCACACTGGGAGAGTCCTCCACTCCCTCCACCCTACCTCAATATTTTGAAGGGCCTGGTGTATGGAGAGATCATGGCGTATTCGGTGGAAAGGAAGGAGGTCCAAGGGTCGTTGACTGAAATCCATGATCCCGAAGCAGCTCACATCCCTGAAGAGAGAGTAGGGTCAACAGAACCTGGGTCCGAATCATGATACCAATGAAAGGCCTGCACGGAACACACCAAAACACTAGAGTAAGAAGAAAAACTTAATTGTTGAGAGCTGACAGGCTGTCTCTCCATGCACAAGAGAGCAGCGGCCCATGGTTAGATAACAGGTCTTATTATAGCCTTGCAGAGAGAAGGATGTAGGAGCACCAGATTCCAGTAAGGTAGCAGGTGGAGTTAATGCTTGTGGTTGGGTTATCTAGACATCACCTGACTTCTGGTAAACCAGACCCAATTCCAGGAAACCAAGACCTATATCTGAGAAACCAAAGCTTATCTTGCAAGATGGCACCTAGGCTTAAACTTATCTCGCAAATGACGCCTAGCATAAGATGGCATCAGTCTTTTTTTTTTTATTTAATGAACATAAATTTCCAAAGTACAGCTTATGGATTACAATAGCTTCCCCTCCCCCCCATAACTTCCCTCCCACCCACAACACTCCCCTATCCCACTCCCTCTCTCCTTCCATTCACATCAAGATTAATTTTCAATTATCTTTATATACAGAAGATCAATTTAGTATATATTAAGTAAAGATTTCAACAGTTTGCACCCACACAGAAACACAAAGTGTAAAATACTATTTGAGTACTAGTTATAGCATTAATTAAACACCTAAGAGTAATTGTGTATTAATTACAGAGTTCAACCAATAGTTTTAAGTAGAGCATAAAAAATACTAAAAGGGTAAAGTATTAAGTTCTTTTTTTCATTTTTTGTTTGTTATATAGTTATTTTTTTATTTAATAAATGTGAATTTACAAAGTGCAACTTTTGTATTGTTGTGGCTTCCCCCCCAACCTCCCTCACTCCCGTGGCCCTCCCCTCTCCCACTCCCTCTCCCATCCCGCCCTTCATCGAGTTTCATTTTCAATTACCTTAATCTACTGAAGATCAACTTAGTATATACTAAGCAAGGATTTCAACAGGCTGCATTCACACAACCGAACCAGGTATAGGGTATTGTTTGACTTGTAGTGTTGTTTTTAAGTTTCATAGTTAAACACATTAAGGACAGAGATCCTACGTGGGGAGCATGTACCCAGTGACTCCCATTATTGATTTAACAATTGGCACTCTTATTTATGATGTCAGCAATCACCTGAGATTCTTGCTATGAGCTGTCTAGGCTATGGAAGCCCCTTGAGTTCACCAACTCTGAACTTGTTTAGTCAAGGCTGTATCACAGTGGAGGTTCCTTCCTCCCTTCAGAGAAAGGCAAAGATGGCATCAGTCTTGCCAATAAGAATAAGAAATGAAGAAAGTGATTCAAGGAAATTCAACTCCACTTTGACTTGAGGATAAGTCATACTATTAATTGGATGCATGCATGAGTAAAGACCCCAGAAAAACTGCAGCACCATGAGACTCTCAACCAGTAAGTGCTACTTTTCCTCCAGGGACATGTACACAGTATTTGTGACCTCTTTGGCAGACATATAATTATAATTATGGCAGGAAATGATTAGAACAAATGCAGTAAATAGTAAAAAAATATGGATTCACCTTTTGGGTGAAGCAGACTACAGAGGCCAGCAAAACTGTCTAATGAGCTTTGTGGTTATGCATGTTTTAACTTTATTAATAATGGGCTTTAAAATTTGCTTTCTTTCATTCTATATATATATATATATATATATAAACACCAATGTTTATGTACACACAAAATGTGTATTCAAATTGAGGCTGACTCTCTGGAGTGTGAACTAGAATGTGGGTTTCCATAACCTTGAAGGAAGCTTCCAAGAGTTTGTTGTATTTTCCCCATGTATTCCTAGACAGTGCTCTATAAGTCCTGAATACACAGCATGCAGAGCTTCTTAGCTCAGTGACATGTAGCTGTGGCCTTCAGCAGCAAGTGTGACACCCATGAACCTGCTGTGATGTACCTGTTCCCAGCTATAGGAAAAGTGAGCAACTCTGAGTCTGTTAATTGACGGTGCACTCGGCCATGTTCTCCGCCTTCCACTCCCCTGCTCTGTTGTTGAAATGTGCACCTTTGTATTTACCTTAAAAGGATTTTGAGACTATTAAATGAAAACCTGTAACTGTAAAACAGGTTTTTTTCCCTTTTAGTCAGGAAGGATCTTGGAAATGTAGGGGACTGTTATTAACAAGCACTGGTAGAATGACAGGAGCCAACAATTGCTAGTAACTGTAGCACTGACCATAAACGAAAGTGAGCTGAGTCACATGGAGGCTTGGAATCTCTGAGGTTGTTGTGTCCAAACCACAGCACATAGATTCTGCAACACAACTGTTTTAAAGACAAAACTTTAATGACTGCTTAGGGAGAAAATCCAATAGCAGAAGCTTCTTAATAATGGCTTCTCTTTATTTTAAGAAGAATGGAAATACCTCATAAATAAGATGCATGATTTCTGTAATTAATACACAGTTATTCTTAAGTGTTGAAATTTAACTGAAATGTGATCCCTGTTAAACATAAGAGTGGGGATAAGAGAGGGAAGAGATGTACAATTTGGGACATGCTCAGGCTGACTTGCCCCAAATGGTAGGGTTAGAAACATACCAGGGGACTCCAATTAAATCCCATCAAGGTGGCATGTACCAATGCCATCTCACTAGTCCAAGTGATCAATTTCAGTTCACAATTGATCATAATGAAAGGACTAAGAGTCAAAGGGAGCACATAAACAAGTCTAGTACCTGTTAATACTAACCAATAGAATAAATAAAGGGGAGAGTGATCCAACATGGGAAGCGAGATACACAGCAGACTCATAGAATGGCAGATGTCCTAAACAGCACTCTGGCCTCAGAATCAGCCCTAAAGGCATTCGGATCTGGCTGAAAAGCCCATGAGAGTATTTCAGGCATGGAAAGCCAAGACACTCTGGCAAAACAAAAACAAAAACAAAACAAAACAAAACAAAACAAAAAACAACAAAACCTAAATGAAAGATCTCTGTGAGTGAGATCCCAGTGGAAAGAACAGGTCTTCAAAGAAGGAGGTACCTTTCTCTGAAGGGAGGAGAGAACCTCCACTTTGACTATGACCTTGTCTAAACAAGATAAGAGTCGGAGAACTCACGGGGCTTCCATAGCCTTGGAAACTCATGACTGGTGCATAGGGAGATTACTGATGCCATAAACAGGAGTGTCAATTGGTAAAGTCAACAACAGGAGTCACTGTGCACTTACTCCTCATGTAGGATCTCTGTCCTTAATGTGCTGTGCATTGAGACTTAATGCTATAACGAGTACTCAAACAGTATATTTCACTTTGTGTTTCTATGGGGGTGCAAACTGTTGAAATCTTTACTTAATGTATACTAAACTGATCTTCTGTAAAAAAAAAAAAAAGAAGAAGAAATTATCAATTCCCAACTTGACTCTCACTGGGATTAAACATGACAATAGGTCTGATCTGATTTCATCATCATTTAAAAAATCATCTATTATTTTTCACTTTATGTTTCTGTGTGGGAGCAAACTGTTGAAATCTTTACTTAATGTATGCTAAACTGATCTTCTGTATATAAAGAGAATCGAAAATGAATCCTCATGTGAATGGAAGGGGAGAGGGAGTGGGAAAGGGGAGGGTTGCGGGTGGGAGGGACGTTATGGGGTGGAAGCCATTATAATCCATAAGCTGTACTTTGGAAATTTGTATTCATTAAATAAAAGTTAAAAAAAAATGATGCATGATTTTCACAATGTTCAGTAAGTGGCTCCTGATATCAGCTTTCTGGTTACCTCTCAGCTTTGTAGAACAAGCCTCTGTTATATGAGATAAACTCAGGGACTATCTAGCAGCACAGATAGGAATTGTTGAGTGGAGGTAATGTATATTCAAGCTTATGGACAGTGTGCTAAGCATGTGGCCCTGGGTGAGGTCTTGTGTTTTTCATCAGTGACAAGTGAAGACAGAACAAATGAGGGCTTCTCTGTCTCTCTCAGCAGCATGTGGAATATACCTTTCAGGAAAGTGAGTGGGAGAGTTGCGGCAGACCTTGGGACAGAGTAGAGTGGATACTGAGCTAGCTTGGGATGGGTGTCATGGCAGGAGGCCACCTGTACTTACAGGTCACCCACAGTTGGCATTGGTAAGGGTGTGGTCAACAGGGACAGGAATTCCACACCATGCACACAGCCCTTCTCCAGCAGAATGCTATGGCAATATGTGAGATGACATCCTGGTTTAAGACAATGAATGGCATAGGGTTCATTCATACTTCTGTGGTCTTCCAGCATCCACCTGTAATGTTCCTCTGGGCTCACATATGACCATCTGACCACTAGGGGAGGAACATATAACACTGACTTGGAGCCACCTAGGCTGAGTTTGAGGATGGATCTTGTATTTATTAGCACAGTCCTTGAGCAAGTTCTTAACTTCCCTCAGCTTCAACACACTCTTGTCAAACAAGGGAAGATTGAGACAATACACAGAAGTGCTTATCTCCATGGCCCAGTCTCTGTGTCACACAGGGAGCTGACTACCTCACTGATCCACTGGCCAGACAACAGAGGGGGACAATGTTAGCCTCACCACCTCCTCAATCCTATGATCTTTTGGACTGCCCTCCCTTTATTCATTTAAAGTGGGATACTGTCATTACTATATGCATGTAGAGATCCTGGGTCACACTTGTCCTCTGGTCTCAAGGCTTTGATGAAGTAGGTAAGCTGCAAACATCTCCAAGCTTGTCCCACACCATTTAGTGGCTGGTTAAGATGTTATCAACATTAATCATTTCATATTTTCATCTGAGACATCTCAATTATCTCAATTCCATTTCTTAAAAATTACCAATCACAGAACATAAATGCAAGGAGGAATACCTGGTAAGTGGGTAAATCCCATGATAGTCAGTACAATGCCAACTGAAAAACAATGAATTGTGTATTTGATCAAAACATACTTATGAAATTACCTTTAGACAAAACAAAACTTTGGTTCACAGTCCAAGTTTTTTACATTTGCTTTTTAATTATCTCAGTAATTGAAAGTAGGTAAACACTTTTAAGTCAGGAGAATGGAACTCAGTCTGATACTCCCACATTGGTTGCAAGAACCCAAGAATTTGAGCCATCATCTGCTGTATTCTAGAGTGGACATTAGCAGAAAGCAAGTTGGAAGTAGAATAGCTGGGACTCAAACCAGGCACTCTGATATGAAATGTGGGCCTCCCAGGAAGGGCCTTAACTGTTGTGCCAAATGCTGGCCTCAAATCTCTTTTCTTTATAAGTATCAGCCTCAGGCATTTCGTTTTAGTAATGGATAATTATGGGACTGTGCTGATGAGTGCTGAAGCCAGAGAAGACAGGGTCAAATCATTTAAGGAGGCAAGAACTCACAGGAATGTGGAAGCACTAATGGAGTTTAGGCAAGAGTAAGCATGGCTGTAAAAATGCTTTAGAAAAGTCCCTCTGTGTACTGCATGCAAATCATATTGAGGTATTTTGGAGTACTAGACTTTTGGAGACCATTTTAAATCTATTGCATTAATCTGGGCAGCAACAGTCCATGAGACCCTCAATTTGGGTGACGTGGGAGGGACTCAGAGAATGGAGGAACTAAGCAATGTTTGTTATTGTGCTTGAGCACACTTCAGTAGGCACTGTACCCAAACAAATGCAGAGCAGAAAATACATGGCAGTTTTATTTTTCTTCTCAAAGTTATAAACAACTACATAGGGGTGGATAACAAAGTATGACATTATAATACCCATTGTGTAGAACGGAAGCTTCAGACCACGGCAGAGGGAAGTATGTTATGCTGACACAATGACAGAAAGAACATAGCTTGAGGTGATGAAATTACACTTATTAAGCAGAGACACTATTTTAGGCACCACACTCCAGTTGATGGGGAGCCGAAAACAGATGGTACAATGCAAATCACTGGACTACCATTCTGCAGAAGTGTGTCTTAACTTAGAATTTGGAATCCTTCAATTAGCCAAATGCTGACAACTCATCCTGCCTATTCCACTGCATATTAATTTGCATCCACTTCAGTTGTTTAAGTTTTTAATTATAGAAGAAACACAAGCACATGGTAAAATTTTGAAAGAATCATTCATTAGGGAAGAGCACAAATTAAAAAGTAAATGTCTTTCTATCCCACTCCTACCTTCATCTGTAACTATAGTTAAAAGTTAACAATCTCTTATGAATTCCTTTTAGATTTTAATGCGCATAAAGCATTCTTATATCTACATATTAAAGAGATATTCCTAGGGCTGGTGCTGTAGCTTAGTAGGTTAAATATCTGTGGCACCGGCATCCTATATGGGCATTGGTTTGTGTCCCGGCTGCTCCGCTTTCAATCCAGCTCCCTGATGTCGGCCAGAAAAAGCAGCAGAAGATGGCTCAAGTGTTTGGGACTCTGCACGCACATGGGAGAC